CGCAGGGGCCGGCCGCGCTCGCTGCTGCGAGCTCCGGAGAGCGCGGCAAGCTCGCCCGCAGCCCGAGCATCCCACGCTCGACTGAGATGGGGGGGCAGAAAAGAGAAAAGGAGAAGGCAGAGCGAGGAGAGTGCCGCTGGGCAGGCGCCCGGCACGGCACCGGTCCGGAGGGAGGGAGGCGAGGGCCCTGCGAGAAGCGGGTTGACGAGGGGACAGCGCCTACTGCTACATCGGGGGATAGGAGAGACACCCACGAGCAAGCACGAATGAAAGATCACGCGGCATGGCTTAGAGTTCCTAATAACAAGGGCAAGACGGTAACAGGAAGTTGTGATTTCAAGGGGCTTAATAAGAAAAAATATACATTTGGAATTTTACAATGCTTTTTTTTTTGTTGAATTTTTTTTTTTTTTTTTTTTTAAATAAAGTTCCTTAGGGAAGCGAGAGGGTCTCTCTACACTTGTCACTAAATATATCTCTGCACTTTCACACACCCACCCCTCGCCCAGTAAAGCTTCAGGCCTGCAGGACACGCTTTCCTCACTCGCATACACAACCCTCACGCCAGCACCGGTGCACCAGGACTCTGTAAAAATTTCAATCACACTTTTTTTTTTTTTAAACTGAGTCAATATAAACCTTGTTCAAAATGTTATGAAAAAATGTACATGTTTATACAAGGCAGGCTGCAGCAGAGCGCTGGCGTTCCACGCAGACATTCGGGTAGGGAGACGCTGGATTCTTGCACCTGGCTTATGCCCTTCCACCCCCTCCCACGGAAACAGAAGCACCCTGCCCCGGTGAGCTCAACAACCCCTCCTGTTCCCTCCTCCCTCGGGACGTGGAGTACGGCCCAAAGCGAGCGCCGCAATCCAGCCCTGGGGAAGAGCAGGGATTAGAAACGCCCTCTTTTCTTTCCATCGGAAACGGTAACCCCTCTGGGCCAGGCCAAAGAGATGCTGCTCTGTACAGGTGGAGTTGGGAGACGTCAGCTCATCATGTCGTTGCTGTTCACACCGTAGGTGGAGTTCTTCATGGAGTCGTTCACCTCTCGCCTGAACGCCGACAGGTTTTGTGTAAACCTAAGGAAAAGGCAGAGCAGCGTGTTAGAGCAGGAGGTTGCCCGTTTCTCCAGCATTTTGCTCTCCGTGAGGCTGCCACGAGGACCACGGACTCTCTAGGCTGTGCTTTTGCACTAAGCTGTGGGCTCAGCCCAATGAAGGGGTCTCTGGCTACTGACCTGTCCCTGTTCTTGGTTAGGAGGTTGCGTTCGATGCCTTCCATGAGGTTCTCAAAGCAGAGGTGCATTGCCTGCTGTTTCTCCGGAGGCTGGCTGTTCACTATACTGTTCCTCAAGTCAGAGAAATACTGGGGGAGACAAGAGAAGGATGGGTTAATTTTCAGAGGAATACCCACCTTGGCTTTGGGACAGGGTATACATAACAGGCTCTCAGGAAGAGGGAGGAAACACGTTACAGCTCTTCAAGTGACTTCTAGTGCCCTTATAAATGAAAGTTAACAGGATTCATTAGCGCCAAGGCAGCTGCAGGGAAGGGCCGGACACCTTTCCCTTGACACACAACCTCTCCAGTCCCGACTTCCCAACCACCCGCTCTGACACCGTTCTGCTCCCTTCAGCCCGAAGGCTCCAGCATCACTCAAGCCCAGACAGCTCCTCCAGCTGCGACGGGAGGGTGGGATGTTTACCTTTTCATTGAGCAGTATCAAGCCGAGCAGAGGCCGAGACATTGACCACTGGTTCCTGCAGTCCTCAAAGATGATGATATTCAGCACCGTCGACAGCATCTGGAAGAGGGAAAGTGAGGTTTAAAACCAGCCCTTCCATCCCAGCTCTCTCCTCACCACAGCACCGTGCAGGCTCAGGAGCAACGATTCACCTTTAATGCTTCCAGTACTGAAGCCTCAATGCTACAGAGCTCTCAGCATCATGGGACCAGAGGAGGACCTGGAGCCCCCATGAACTGGTGAACTTCACTGAAGGCACAGGGAGGAGGTGCTGAAAGCTGTTAGAATATGAGGAAATGGCCTCAAATTGCACCAGAGGAGGTTTACATTAGATATTAGGAAAAATTTCTTCACCAAAAGGGTTGTCAAGCCTTGGAACAGGCTGCCCAGGGAAGTGGTGGGCTCCCCATCCCTGGAGGTATTTAAAAGACGTGTAGATGTGGTGCTTAGGGACATGCTTTAGTGGTGGACTTGGCAGTGCTAGGTTAACGGTTGGACTTGATGATCTGAAAGGTCTTTTCCAACCTAAACGATTCTGTGATTCTATGATTTATTCCTGACACACTCCATCCTGCCCCAAGCCAGCCAGGGAAAGACTCTCTCATCTTCACTTAAACAAGATAATAGCAAGTGCTTAAATGCAGAGAGCACACACTGAGCTGCCCTGGGGAGCTTCCTCTGGGCCACTCCAGGGGCGTCTGCATTTCCTTCCACAGCCTCCTAAGGCTAAGCCAGTATCTAACCTAGCTGGTTTGGAAGATGCAGTTTCTCTTTTTATCCTCAGAAAACACAGTTTCTAGCCCAAAAAAAGTCTGCTTTTTTTGCATTTGATCTATCAGCAAGGGTGGAACAATATTCCCTGCTTTCACGTGGGAGTCATGCTGACACGCACCAGCGAGTGAGGTTGGGTAACGCCGTCAGAAATGCACTAAGCACTGCTGTTTAAAGCAGTATGGCCAGCCAAGAGGCATATAAGAGAGTTTTGCTGTAAGGTATGGATATCCAGACCCCAATGCAGGGCCCTCTGGAGCACCAAAACCTCTGTGAACAGAACCATCTGTCATTAAGTGACACAGAGGTACCTAAACTACACGGTACATGTAGGTATATGCTGAGCTAAGCCTCATCTAAGCAAGGAAAATGTCTCGGCTCACTATTGATCCTCTGCCACCGCACACGCTCCTGACCCAGAGAGAAGACAAATCCCAGCACGCTCCGGGTCTATCAGAGGTGTTGCGGATGGAGGCAGGAGACAGATGGCAGATGTGTTACCAGCATGTAAAAAAACCTCGATTATCAAATTCACCCTGCAGAGGCCGTTCTGAAGGCAGGCATGAACGGTGCCAAGGCAGCACGTGCTCCAACAGGCTGCAAACCCAACTTTCACGTGGTCCCAACACGAGCGCCACAGCAGAGATTGTGCCCGTATGCTGAAGTCTACGCAGAGCCTTGTTAAGCATGGGGACCCCACGGTGCCTGCTCTGCTGTGAGTGCACATGTACCATGGAATTTTTCCAGGGATTTGAACAAACGCTGATTTTTTTTTAAAGCAGCAGAAGAGCACACGCTCTCTGGTTGAAGGTATGTTTCCTGGCTTTGTTTCTATCAACTGCCAGCACTGCCCATAACTGTGTTTCTCT